CCCCCCCCCCTCTGACCCTGTTGCCTCGTCGGGCCGATTTGCCCATGGCCGCGCGTGCGCCGACACAGCTCCCCCTTGCCGTCGGCACCAAGGGCGGCGCCGTGACCACGGTCCAGTCATACCGCGTGGCCCTGGCCCTGGCCGGCAGCCCCACCTCCGCCGAGCTGTCGCACATCCTGGCGTGTGTCGGCCTGGCGCAGAACTTCGCCGCCGTGCGTGCCCTCTCCCTGGAGGGCATCAATCGCGGGCACATGGCCCTGCATGCGCGGAACATCGCCGTTGCGGCCGGTGTCCCGACCGAGCGCGTCACCGAGGCCGCGGCCTGGATGATCACCCACGGCGGCGGCCCGACCACCGACGCGGCCAAGGCCTTCCTGGCCGCCCAGGGCATCGCCCCCTCCACCTAAAGGCGGGGTCCTGCCTCGCTGGCATGCCCGCCCTTGTCCTTCTCTTGTTGCCCGCTTTCTCCTCCCGCCCCCTCTCTGCTGTCCCCCATGCCCGGTGGGGTGCATGCCGACGCTCGTGTGTCGGCTGCGTGTTCCCTTGCCCGTGACCATGCAAATGCCCGCCGACAGTTGCAACCCCCCTCCCCCCTCCCCCCTTCACATCGGTATAAAATACTTCCTTGTCTTGGCCTTTGGGCGGGAAAGCGCGTCTTCATTGAACAGGAGAGGGAAGTCGATGTACATGGTACACATGGGGTAAATCTAGGGGGAGAATGGCAAGTAAAGACGGGGGCGGGTGGTTGCGCGCATGCACGCCAGTCTGGCGGAAGAAGCGCAGCACCCTTTGATCTACACAAGGACGAGATAGGGGAAAGAAAAGGGGAGACAGGGAGGGGAGGGGGGGGGGGGGAAGCGAGAGGGGGAGAAGACCAGGGGAGGAGATGCAGGCACAGGAAGGGGGAAAGGCAGTCAAGGCAACATCTACTTGTCGATCTTCGATGAGTCCTTCAACTCCTCGTGGGCTGAGGGCTTGGTCTCCTCATCGTCGTCGGTGGCGGCGGCAGCAGCAGTCTGCTCACGCTGCTGCTGCTGCTGCTGCTGCTGCTGCTGCTGCTGCTGCTGCTTCAGTCGCTGCTTGTAGGCCAGGGCATTCGACAGGGCTGCTGAGCTGGCCGGCGCCGGGCTGGACAGCAGCGGCGAAATGACATCCAGATCGGCACCATCCTCCTCCCGAGGGGCCGTCAGCTCGGAGAACTCCTGCATCAACAGGCGGCGTGACTTCGGATCCAACATTGACACCATTTGATCGTGGTCATCGGTGAAGCTGCATATTGGGCAGGGTGAGAAGAGGGGAGGGAGGGGGAGGGGGTCAGTACATCAACAAGAGTCAGGGGAAAAGGGACAAGGTAGAGAGAGAGAGAGGGCGAGCGAGCAAGAGGAAGGGAGGAAGGGAGCGAGAGAGGGAGGGAGAGAGAGAGAGAGACGCACGTCTCGAAAATATCAGCCAGCATCTGGTCGAACTCCTTCAGCAAAGGGTGATCATCGTCGATGACATGCATGTCTTCCTCATCACCGACGCCAAAGAGCCCGGCCCCCGGGCCAAGCACATCGGCCCCGCCCCCGGGGAAGTCCCCGGAGGAGGCCGGCTTGACGATGGCATGCGAAGGCGACTCGATGGCCTTGCGCCAGCGCCGGAAGTACAAGTCATCCATGAGATCCGCGTCGCCATCGATGTCGAAGATGTTCTTGTCATAGGGATTCCGCGGCTGGGCCGGGGCCGTGGCCTGCTCGGCCGTTGCCGCCGCCGCCGCCGCCGCCGCCGCCGCCGCGGGAGCAGAAGAGGGAGACATCGCCGGCTTGGCAGAAGCCTTGCCGTCGGCAGCAGTGCCAGCCTCAGCCGCAGCCGCAGCCTCAGCCGCAGCCGATGGTGCAGCCGCAGCCGATGCGGAAGAGAGGGCCATACCGCCCGCCAAAGTGGAGGCACGGCGTCGGCCCATGCCAAATAGCTGGCCCGAGGTGGCATCACGCTCGCGCCGCGGGCCGGTCGCCGGGGCCGATGTGGCCGACCGGCCAGTGCGGCTACGACCACGGCCACGGCCACCTGTGGGCGATGTCGGCGATCCGCCAGCGCCGGCATTGGCCCCAGCACCGGCACCACCATCGGCACCGACACCGGCACCGGCACCACCACCGGCACTCGCCACATTGGCCATGGACATGGACATCGGCAGGCCCGGGGTGGCATTGGCCGAGGACATGCTCATCATGGTCCCCGGCGCGCCGGGGACAACGTCCGCGGCCAAAGGCCCGTCAGCCGCGGCAAACGGCCAATCCGGCGCGGCGGCCTGCTCGGCCAGCCCGAAGATCCGGCTACCAAGCTCGGCCGCTCGCGTGCGGCACTGGTCCACCTGGGCCAGGTGCTGGCGCGCCTCGCGCAAGTCACTGAACATGGCCGCCGTGAAGGACTTCCGGACCAGGCGGTCGGTGATGGCCTGGAGCTCGGCCAGCCCGGCCTCCAAGTCCCGATACTCGGCGACACACGGCCGACCATCCACTTCGGCCTCCGGACGCAGGACCAACGAGCCCAGCATGTCGCTCAGAAGCCGCACATGGGCCTGGCTCAGGCTACACTGCACGGCGGCCAGCTCGCACTCGGCGCTGAAGTAGGCCATCCGCGCGCGGGCCACCACCTCCCGGACCCGGGCCAGGTGCTCGGCCGACAGCAGTGGCCCCGGCGGCAGGACATCACTCGGCCCGGCGGCCGCCAGAGCCGCCGCCGCCGCGCGATCCTCCTCCAATTGGCTGCGCACATGGCGCTCAATGCCACGGAGCTGCCGCAGGGCCTGCTCCCGGCGGACATGGTGCTCGCTCGACATGCCGGCCAGCTCCAGATACCGGTTGAAGCTCGGGTGCCGGTGCTGCAGCAGAACCCCCGAGGGGAGGGGCTGCGCATGACGCCCGGACACCGGGACCCCGGGGACCGGCCACCGCTCGGCCCCCAGAGCCAGCGGCTGCAACAGAGCCCGCGAGGCCACCGCCGCGAAGTCCACCTCCGTGCGGATGACCCGCCCGGCTGGCACAAACTCCGAGTCCAGGTAACGAAGGAGCGCCTCGCGCGCGGCGTCCACATGCGTGGCATGCAGCCCCGCCGGGCCAGCGGCGTCCGGATCCGCGGGGCTCCGGCGGCCGGCCGCGCCCCGGCCCCGGTCATCCACCAGGAGCTCATCACCGGAGGACGTGCCATCCGACAGGAAGGCCCCCCCATCCGAGGAGGACCCTCCATCGACATCGGCGCCCCGGCCGATGTCAACATCATCATCGTCATCGGCGGCGGCAGCAGCAGCAGCAGCGCCAGCATGCCCATCATCATGGTCGACATCGTCATCGAGGCTCAGCAGCAGGTTCCGGCCATTGGCCATGGCAGTGGCCCGGTCACCGGCGCCAACAACAAAGGCATCGCCATCATCATTGTCATCGTCATCGCTGAAGAGCATGTCATTACCGTCGAAGTCCACGCCGCTCTCCTCCCACGCGTCAAACTGCGGCTCCATGACCCGGCGGCCGGGGCCGCCCGGGGTCTCCTGCGTCACGAAGGACAGCGAGAGGTGCGAATTGGCCGCCGAGGCACGGAGCTCGTCGGTCGTCTGGGCCAGCAGCATCGAGTGCAGCATGTGCGCGGCGATGGCCCGCGCGTCTTCCAACTCGCGCGAGTACATGTCCGCCGTGGCGCGCTTGTACTCGCGCGGCGAGAGCCCGAAGAAGTGCCGGAGCTCGGCCAGGGGCCCGGCGTCAGGCCCCGGGGCCGGGCTGGAGCCCGGCTCGTCGGCGGCCGGCGCCATCGGCACCGGCACCGGCACGGGCTCCGGCCGCCGGATGGCCAGCCCGCTGGTGGCCGCCATGCCGGAGTTCATCTGGCCGGAGAAGGGATCACTCAGGGGCTGCTTCGACACGAAGGTGCCCCAGTCCAGCAGCAGGTCATAGACCATGGACCCGGACCGATCGGCCGACAGCGGGTCGCCATTCGAAAAGAGCTCCAGCAAATCGCGCTCCGGCTGGGGGCCCTGCAAGGCCGGCAACATGGCAAACAGCGGCCACCAGCGGAACATCATTTGCAAGGGCGCCGCCGGGGGATTGGCCAGGGGAGCCGCCACCGGGGGCTGGGTCGCGCGGATTTTGGCCAAAATCCGCGCCACATTCGACCCGTCAAACAGCTGCGAGTAATACCGCAGAGCCTGGCGCGTGGGGGCCGAGGGCTGGTGCAACAGCGGCTCCATCATGTGCAGCATGAAGTCATCCTCCTGCTCATTGCGCACGTCGGCCCCAAAGTGGTGGGCATAGAACTGCAAGGCCGAGAGGGTGGTGGCCGCGGCGGCCGGGGCCCCGCTGGGCCCCGGGCCCCGGGGCCCGGACATGCTCGGCCCGCCCAGCGGCGCCACCGACGGGGCAAAGGGCGACAAACCGGCCGGAGGCTGGGTCCCGAGGGACCGCGCCGAGGGGCGCCGGCTGGTGGGGATCCCACCGCCGCCGCTGCCACTGCCGCCATGGTCCCGGGCCCCGGACTCAGGCATGCCCATGGACCGGTCTTCGCCCGGGGGGGTGGCGCCGATGGTCGTGGCGACCGCCGCGAAAGGCAGCGACGGAGACGCCGCCAGGCGGTCGGACAGCCCCGGCGCGCTGACCCGTGCGCCCGGCAAATTGAGCAGGAATTGGATGGCCGTATCACGCGGACGGATGTCCATCTCGCTGAAGTCCGGCACCCGGCCGAAGTCCGCCCCAAGGTCGGCAAATGCCCGGAGCATGTCCTGGCCATCGGCGATCACCTCGGCCCCGGAGGCCAATGGATAGGCCGCCGTCTCGGCAAAGGGCGCCAGCAGCAGGCCAAACAGCCGGCACACGGCCACCTGCTCCGACAGTCGCCGGTACGAAGCGGCCATCGTGGCGCTGGTCAGCATGCCGAGACTGTCCAGGTGCGACTCGGCCGCGGACCCCCGGCCGCTTGGCGATTCGCCCGTGGCCATGGCCGGCTCCAGCGACGGCGGCACCAGCAGCTCGGATAGCGGGACCCCCGGCTGGCCGAGCGCCACAAAGGGATTCCCCGAGGCGGCCGGCAGCCCGGCCTCCTGGGCAAAGCGCTGCGCCAGCAGGCCAACCGCACCCTTGATGTGCAGATAGGGCAGCTGCTGCAGGACCGCCGCCAGGGGGCTGGTGTGCGGGTGGTGGAACATCTGCAACAGCGACTCCAGGGGGGAGTCCGAAGCGGCCTCGGCCCGGGGAAGGGCCGGCTCAAAGAGGGCCACCATATGCAAGTGGTGGATCACCCGGCCGGACTCCATGTGCGAGCCGAGCTCGGCCAACAGGCGCCCGGCCAATTCGCGCTGCATCTGGTCCAGCAGCGGAACCGCATTGCTGGCCATTGGGGCCTGGCCGCGGGCCAACGCCTCGGGCGTGGCAAAAACACTGGCCACCATCTGGTCCATCGGCGAGCCGGTGCCCATCGGGGCCACGCGAAGCAACGGGCCCAGGGTCTTCAGGTAGAAGTCCGGAGAGAGGACCAGCCGCCCGGCCAAATCCGGCAAGTCCATCAGCGGGTCCAGGTGCAACTTCTCCAGCAGCAGGGAAAAGTGCCGGGGCAGGCCGCGACACCGGGCCGGATCGAAGACCGACACCTGCCGAGTGGCCGCCGAAGCGCCGGCACGCGTCCGGCCACTGGTCGAGGCCTCGGGAAACAGGCCCTCCGGCAGGGGACACCCCTCGGTCAGGAAGGCCGCCTGGAAGAGATCCACCATGAGCAGCGCCACGGCCGACTGCTGGCTGGCATGGGCATGACGCAGGGCATACGCCAGAGCCTGGTAAAAGCGCAGGAGCAGGGTCAAGCTGTCTCGAGTGGCCGGCTGCAGGAGCGGCGAATCGGCCGGCGGCGCCACCGGGAACGGCAAGGTCAGGAGGGCCTCGAGCGAGGGCCGGCTGGCGGTGCTGGGCGCCCGGGCCTCGCCGGCCGACTCGCCATCCGACGACCCAAGCATCAACCCGGCAAAGGCCTGGTCCAGCAATGGCGCCAGGGCCGCCATGTCGTCCGGGCCCAAGAGACCGGTGTCCAGCGGCCCCGGGGAGAGGCCCAGCACGCCGGGCGGGCCGGCCGGCCCGGTGCGCGCCGGCGGCCATGCCAGCGCCCGGCTCGTGTCCGACCAGCAGGACTGCGTGGCCAGCAGGAACCGCTGGGCCAACTCATCCGAGTGCCCGGCGGCCACCACCCGGCCAAGCTCCCGCCGCAGGAGGGTCAGGAACTGCCGGCCAAAGTGGTCGAAGATCGTCGGGGCCGGCGAGGCCAGGAACAGCTGCTGCGCCGCCAGCATCTCGCTCAGGGGCATCTTCTGAAGGGGAGACCGCTGGAGCAGGGAATGGATCACGGTGGCCGGGGCCATCGGCTGGCGGAAGGGATGCAGCCGGGTGGCCTCCTGGGCGGCGGCCTGGCGACCGGGCGCGCGCTCCAGGGCCTCCAGTAGCTCGATGAAGTGCCGCGACTGGAGGAGGCTGGCCGGCGGGGCGGGGGTCAAGGCCGCGGCCTCGGCCTCGGCCTTGGCCACGGCCTCGGCCGCCGCACGCATGTCCGCCACGCTGGCCATCCCCGGGGGGTAGTAGCCGGACAGCAGGATGCCATGGTGCTCGGCGGCCTCGATGGCCGCGGCCAAACGCGGAGGCAGGGGCTGGGGAAAGTGCCGCCCCGAGGGGGGGCCGGAGCCGGCCGGCCCGTCGCCCGGGGCCCCGGCCGAAGGGCTGACGAGCTGCATGGCAGCCGGGCTGGTGGCCGGCCCGACGGCCGGCATCTCCACCGGCGCCTCGACTCCCAGGGCCAGGGTCGACTGGCGGAGGGAATACAAGTGCCCCGGGTTGGAAGATGCCCCGGGAGTCAGTCTGGCCAGGTGCTGCAGCAGGACATCGTCCGCCGGCTGCGACAACACCCCGGCATAGTGCTGACGGAAGAGCGGGTGAAAGTGCGACAGGCTCAGGTGCCGGAGCTGCGACACCAGCTCGAAGTACATCTTCGGATTGGCCCGGTGCCGATTGATGAAGGGCCGCGACAAGAGCACCTGCCCCTCGACCGACACCCCGGGATGCAGGGGGAAGGCCGGGCGCCGGGGCTCCGGCGGCTGGAAGCTGATGAACATGTCCACGCCCTGGTGATGCTGGGACTTGGTGACGACGGCATTTTCCAGGTGCGTCTGCGCCAGCGAGGCCCCGGTCCCGGTGACCGCATCCAGCAGGGCCTGATGCCGGCCATTGATGGAAGACCGCATCAGCTCGTGCGCCAGGTCCAGCGGCTCGGCCAGCACCGGGATCTGCTTGCTGACGAAGTACGGCAAGGCCGCGTCCATGATTTGCGCCTGGGAGTAGGCGGCCAGGGCGCGCAGGGACCGGGACATCTCCGTCGACACGAGGGCCTGCTCCGGCAGAAGCTGCGGCAGATGCGGATGGCGTGACAGGTCCGAGGGGCCATACGTGTAGGGGAAGGGGGGAGAGGGCCGGGCCGCGGCGGCTGCCGTGGCGGCGGCGGCCGCCGCCGCCGCCGCCGATCGAGCAACAGCAGCGGCCGCCGCCGTCGGGCGCGGACGGGATGCACGTCGCCGCCCGAGGCTGGCCCCGGCCGTCCCCGCTGGCGGCGACGGCGGAGCACCGCCAGGGAGGTGAGACGCAGAGCCGGCCGGGGGGGGGCTCGGGCCGGAGGAGTTTTCCGAGATGATGGGGATGCCCCCGCCACCGAGGGAGGGGGGCAGCGAAAATTGCCCGGTCACCGACTCTCGCAGGTAGGCCGACGCCCGGAAGAAGTCCCGCGTGGGCTGGATGTCCCCGAGCAGGGCCGACGCACTGCGGGCATACTGCCGGACGGACCCGGCGGCGCCGGAGGGGGGCCGATGGAGCAGGGCCCGGGCGCGCGCAGACAACATGGTCGCAAGGGGAGGGGTGAAATGGGAGGGGGAGAAAAGGGGAGAGGCAGACCGAAAGAGGGAGAGAAGGGGGAGGGGGGGAGGGGGGATACGTGCTACGCTGTGGTCTCACCCCGTCCGGGGACTGGCCGGGGGGGGAGGGGGTCAAGCGGCGGGTGTACGAGCCAGCCGGGCGCGATCCAGAGGGGAAGGCGACAGGGAGGGGAGCCCAAGCGAGGGAGACACCGGGGGGATGGGGGAGGAGGGAAGGGGAAGGGTAGGGTGGGTGCTGGAGAGGATGTAGCGAAGAACGGGACGGGATAGGGGGGGGGGGGGAGGGGGGGAGATGGCTCCTGGCGTCCATGGCCCGACCGGGATCGGCGATCCACAAAAAACCGGCACACTGCGCAATGCCCGGCGCGCAGGAGACAGGGAGCGCCGCGCAGATTCACACACACACACGCACACAAGCACACAGGCACCAGGCCCGGAGAGACGGCCGGTGCCCAGGGCCCAGGTGGGGCCGGGAACAAGCGGGCGTGTCCTGCCGGGGGCCACGAAGCCATGTCCGCCTGTGGCAGATGCGACCCCCTCCGACACGGCGCGGCGCAGGGCACATGTGTAAGCCACCAGCGTGCGCCCGCTGGCGTGCGTCCGCCGGCGGGCGGGGGGGGGGGGGGGACGTGCGAACGGCGCCCGAGGTGCGGCGGCTGTACGGAGGGATGCCCGCGGTGTGATCCTCCCCGGCGTGATGTCCTACATCGAATGGCATTATGTGCTCTCCGAAGTCACTAAGTCTAACGCCGTTGGCTATCAATTCGAACTTCATCAACTGCTGCCGGTTCTGATCTCATCCCAGTTGACTGGGGTACCATGCCGGGCGCTCCAGACCCAACCCCATGTGGTTGTGGGTGAGGGGGCGATCGCGCCTCGCGGATGGCCCTCCAGCCGGGGCCATTGTGGGGCTGAGGGCGGGAGAACCCACCGGGCGGCACGCCCGGCCAGGAGGGGATCGGCACACTCCCCGCCGGGCATGGGGGGCGTCGAGCATCCGGCCGCCATGCGGCGAGCACGGTCGAGACGGTTGATGAGCCGGCGCCCGGGGGCCGGGCACAGAGTCTCGTGGGCAGTCTTGCCATGATGAAGCCTCTCGACATACCTTTGCCTGCCTTTTGCCGTGGACCTTGACCGCTGGACCGCCTTTTTTTTATTGCCGCCTTCCCCTCGTGCGCCCCCACATTGACCCGGGCACTGGGCCCTGCCATCTGCTTGTCCCCGTGCACTCCCCTTGCCCGGAAGCAGTGCCGATCGGCGCAAACGCGGCCGCCCCCGGCCAAGAACCGGGCATCCTGACACTGCCCATGGAAGAACACGCCCCGGCCGGGCGCAAGGCCTCCACCCACCCGGAGAGCATCCCCCTGGCTGCGCTGCCGGGCGAGCAGACATGCCTCTTTGACGTGCGGCCCGCGAGTGGCCCCCTTTCGTCGCAAGCCCTGCTCGAGGAAGATGCCCTTCCCCAGGTACGTTGTCCTGCTCGGTGTCCCGCTCTTTTCCTCGGGCCTGTCCTCCGCCCCGGTCCCCCGGCCCGGCCATGCACCGGCCTCTCGCCCGCTCGCCCCATGTGCCGGCCTCCCCGGCGCGGAGCTCGCCGCGCGCACGCGCACTTCTGACACTCCGCTTGGCAGACCTTGCACTCGCCTCCGGCCACCGTGGACCTGGATGACGAGAGCTTCCACCCGGCCGGCTATCGCAGCGCCTCGGTGGGGCACTTGCCCGGGGCCGCGGGCCGCTGGGCCACCCTCGGGCTGTGGCTGCGCGCGCTGCTGGCCCGAATGTCGGCCACCATCATCGGCTGCGCCTTCCGCGAGGCGGTGGCCGGGCTGCTGCTGGCGCTGCCGATCATGGTGGTGCCGCTGGCACAGCTCCATGACCCGCACCCGGGCCACGGGCCGCCCGGGGGTCTGGCCCCGCGGGTGCGCTTGCCGCGCGACGGCCCCCCGGCCCCGGACCGGTGGACCTGCCTGGCCGACCGGTGGACCGGCCGGGCGTGCGTCGCGGCCCCGGTGTCGCGGTATGCCACTCACGAGGTCCTGCTGGCTGCGTCGGCCGCCCACTTGGCCACTCTCTGCCAGGCGAGCTCCTTCGTGGGGAAGACCCTGCGCTTTGCCGTGCGCGCGTCCATTTCCGTGGTCGTCGGGGCGACATTCGGTCTGGCGACACAGTGCGTGCCCGGCTTTGGGGCTCGCTCCGGGCCCGATGAATGGCCTCCACTGGCGGCGCGACTGACCGACATGCCTCCCGCACATGCGCGCATGCCCGTGTGCCCCCCCCCCCCCCCCCCGGGCCCCGGCGCTGCCAGTGCCCTGAATTTCGTGCCCCTTCGCGCGGCCATCACCCTGATCGGCCTGCTGACGGTGGCCCTCCTGCCCCCATGGCGGCACCAGTGGACCAGCGTCGGGAGCGGGTCCGCCGCGCGGGCCGTCGGCCACTCGGTGCTGCTGGCCATCGCCGCACGGCCGGCCTTCCATGTGTGGTGCCCGACCAGGGACTTCCGCCAGGCGGCCCTGGCCGCCGCCAGCACCAGGGTGGCGGCGGCCGCCGCCGCCAGCGAGGGCCCCGACTTTTGGGCCGCCATCGCCGGCGCCATGGCCGCCACCGAGGGGGGCGAATTTTGCGACGCCCTGACTGCCCGATGGCCGGCCCCGAGTGAGCGCCTGCCGGCTGGCCGATGGCCCCCGGCCCCGGTGTGGCTGCTTGGCGCCAGCGTCACCGGGGTGTACACCGCCTCGGCCCTGGCCATCGCCCTGGTGGCCGTGGGCCTGGGGAGCCCACGCGCGGCCGGGCTCCTCCGGCGGTCGGTCTTTCGCGGCCACGGGGTGTTGCTCCTGTGGCTGGCTTTCGGCCGCCGGGCCCTCCTGTCGCCGGAGGCCGCGCGAAAGCTCCTGCGCACGGCACAAGACCACCTGGTCGACGCCCTGTGGGAGAGCCCGATCACGCTGGCCGAGGGGTATAGCACCTTCAGCCTGAACCCGGTGGGCTACTCGGTGGAGCGGCTGCGCCGGGGAGCCCGCGCGGCCGGGCGCCTCCTGGCAGCCAGCTCGCCGGACCCGGGGGCCGGCCCGGGCCCCGGCCGCACCGATGCCCCGGCCGCCGGCGAGCCCCCCGCAGCAGGCCGCCCGGCGAGCACCCTCCAGCCGCATCGGGCTTTGGCCAGTGCGCGCGCGCGCATGCGGGGCACATTCACCCCGGACCGGTATTTGGCCCTGCTGTTTGGGCCGCACTTTGGCCTTCGGCCGCGGGAGTATGGCCGCCTGATTGGCGAGCTGGCTCGCCTGGCCGGCCTGGCAGCGGCCACCGTGTCGCTGGACGTGACGCCCGCACGGGCAACGAGCGGCTCCCCCATCGGGCCGCAGGCGGCCTGCCAGATGGATGTGCTTGGTGCGTTTGCTCCGCCGCCGCTCGAGGGCGCCCGGCGGAAAGGGTCGGACGCCGGGAACCGCCCGGCGGGAGGCCGGCAAGAGGGCTATCAGCCAAGTGCGGCCGGGCATCTAACACCAACGCCCCTCTTGCTGTGGCCCGGTAGGCGCCAGGGAGGTCGCGGCATTCCTCCTGCTGGAGGCATATCGCGAGCCCGGGGCATGGAGGCCGGTCGACCGGGCCGTGCTCGACGCCCTGGTGGCTCGTCTGACCGCCAACAAGGCTGACGACGCCCTCTCCGCCGGACAGTCGCTCCTGGTACGAGAAGAGACACCGAGCCGTGACACGGGGCATCGACACACACACACACACACACACACACGCACACACACACAGGCAGCCAGCCAGCCAGACAGGCAGACGCCTTGGTGTCGGCATACATGGCACAAGCCAGCAGCGGGCAGGGGCAGGAGAAAGACCACGGCCACTGACGACCACCCACGCAGCACCTGGCCCACCTGGAGGTCCTCGCCGGTTTGGTGGCCGTGCGCCGGGGCTTGGCCGAGACCCGGGAGCCGAATGAACATTGCACCGGGACCCTTGACAGGGAGCCGCTCCCTTGTCAGGCGGCCGCGGTGTGGCCGCCACTCGAGGCCCTGCAAGCCGCGCGGGCCCCGGCCGAGCAGGAGCTCCCCCGCATGCAGACACAGCGGCGCTCGCTGGTGGGCGGGTTCCCTCGACGTTTGTGGCGGAACTTCCTGGCCGGTACGTCAGACACGCCAACCGACATGGCCAGGGGGGCGGGGGGGGGGCGCCGAGATGAGAGATGCAGGCAGCCCCACTGACCGAAGAAGAGGCCCATGCTTCCTCCTCGCGCCGGATGCCACTGCACAGTGGCCGACCCGGCCGTGGCGCGATCCAGCATTGCTCTCACGCTGGTGGCCTCGGTGGCCATGGTCGACCCAACCTGGTGGCCACATCAGTGGCAGCGGGATCTGGCATCTGGATGGTCGTCGGCCACCACCCTGACGACGGTGCGTGCGACGAAGAGCGGCACGCTTGTGAGACCGGCCGAAGGGGGGGGGGGGGGGGCCGGAGGAGACAAGCCAACTGTGGGCTTGTGAGCTGCCAGGGAAGAAGCACTGACACCCGATGCCGGGGGCCCACTGCCTACGGTACACATGCGTGCGCGGATGTGTGGGCGCGTCTACATACATGCGTGTGTGCCTATGCACGATCATGCGCTTGTGTGCACTAATGCATGCATGCACGGTTATCGGCACATGCGCGTACATGTGTGCGTCCGTGTGCGTCCGCGTGTGTCCGCGTGTGCAAACACCTGCGGCCGCCTGCACGCCGACCGCATAGATGTTGCTGGTTGTCCGGCCGACGCTCGGCCAGATGGCTCCGGTGCTCCTGTGGCGCGGGACCGGGGCCGGGGTGTGTGCCGCACTGGCCAGCTGCCTGATCGTGCCCCTGGCCCGGGTGATGGTCCTGCTGGTGGAGCGCCTGACGGTCGGCTCGCAGATGGGCGTGGCCGCGGCGGGGCCGGCGGTAGCAGGGGCCGGCGGCACGGCCGCCGAGGCATTGGCCGCCGTCGCCACCGGGGCCGTCCTCTCGCCAGCCGGCATTTGGCTGCAGGTGGTCGGGCGCCTGGCCTGGCTGAGCACCGTGGCCATGGGGCTCTTCATTTTGCTGGTCGTGGCGCACACGCTGCGCCTGCTGGGCTTCCCGATCTTCGGGCTGCAACTGGCGGCCGTGGCCCCGGGCGCGGTGGCCGATGCCTCGCGCGCGGCCCTGCTGGCTTTGAACACGCCCATCGGCCAGCGAGGGGCTGTCTTGCCGCCGGGCGGCATGGGGGGCGGATGGTTTGCGGCTGCCCTGCAGGCCAGCGGCCAGCGCCTGGTGGCCATCTGGCTGGGGCTCCTGGCCGCCGGGCTGATGGCCAGCTTGACCCTGGTCCGGCCGGCCCCGCTGGCCGGCCGGCGCTTCGCGCAACAGCTTCAGGTCATCAGCGATTTGCTGAGCGCCAGCCTGGCGGAAACCCTCGCGCCGCACAGTCGCCAAAGTGCCCGGCGCATGAATGCCACCAACACGCCCTTCCTCATGGCGTCCACCGGCTCGGCGCTGCTGATCCCCCTGGAAGACGAGCGCAAGGACCGGCAACCGGCCGAGTCGCCGCTCGATGCGGCAAGTGAGCCTTCATCACCGGGCGCAAGCTCGGGCCCCGAGGACCGGGCGCTGGCCGCCACCGCCGGGCCACCGGCGACCCACATGGCAGCCGGCCTGGCCCACCAGGGGGACCCCCCGGCCGGGCAGTGCGCCGAAGCGAGCGACGCCGGGACGTGGCCGGCCCCGGTGGCCCGATCGCGTGGCCAGGTGGTCCGTGTCCGTGCGGAAATCCGCGGCCACCAATCGAGCACCCCGGCACCGGGACCGGCGTCAGCGCCGCCCGACCGCGCGCAATCGGCCCCAAGCAGCCCCACCACCCCGGGCAAGGCCACCGACCCCCTGCCGGCACACCGGGCCTCCACGCGCATGCCCTCCTGCTGGAGGCGGCAGTGGTGGCAATGGTCGACCCCGCCCGGCGGCCCGAGCACGGGGCAGGACATGGCCGGCGAGCCATCCGCCCCGGAGCAGCCGCCCGAGCATCCGGCCGATGACGAGCTCCTGCCGGCCGCCCGGCTGCACGCACTTGAGGAGGATTCCGCCGGGTGCCCGGCGACCGAGGCGTGCGCTCTGGCGGTCGGGCGCCGACCGGACGGCCCGGCGATCGGCTGGGCCCCAGGCTGGTGGCTCAGCCTCTCGGGGGACATTTTGCGCGAGTGCCAGGCCCTGCAACCGGCGGCCGGGATGGAACGCCGCCGAGCGGCGGCCCTCATGGCTGCCAGCACCCCGACCTATGGTGCCTGTGTCGAGGAGGATCCCGGGCAGGTGCTCCTGTCCCGAGCTCGGCGGGTGATGCACTTTTGCATCCTCGTGGACTTGGGCTATTGGCATGTGGACCAGGCGCACCGGGCCCGGCGCCGGAGACAGTTCGCCGGGTCCGATCGGGCCACCGCGCTGGCGACCCCCCGGCGCCAGGGGCAAGTCGGCCGGCTGCTGTGGCGCACGGCCTCCGGCCCGGATGCGCCCGCCATGCAGGCAGAGGGCCACCCGCCGGGCCCGGCACCGGCACCGGCACCGGCACCGGGACAGGAACGCGACCGGCATCGCAAGCAGGACCAGCCCGGAGTCGACCTGCTTGGGCGCCCGAGCGCCTGCAGTTGCGCCCTTTGCCATGCTGATCGGCCGACGCGCGAGGCACTGCAGTTTGCCCTGGTCGCCGCGCGTGGGGCCATCGTCGAGTTGAATGCTGCCCTCCAGAAGGCCGGCGCATAGGACAACCGGAGAGGCGAGAGGGATGTGGGTGGGTGCGCCCCCCTGGAGAGGGGAGAGTGGTTGTGAAATGCCGGATCGTGCTTCACCCGCTGTGCCTTTTCCATCGATCTACTCCCTGGGTGGCGGGCCCGCAAAATGGGTCTTGCCGCCGAAATGTACAATAGAACATTCGGACTGGCTGAACGAACGAGCGAGAGAGACAAGGAAAAAAAAAAAAACGCAGGCCGGGGGGCTATCGACCGGACGGGGCTCCTCTGCCGACGTCGCTCCATTGACTCTGGGGACGCGATCCGGTCAAGGATGCGCACATTCGTTGGCACTTGGTCGGCATTGAACAAGCACGACCGGACCGGAGCAGGCTCCCAGCGGGGGTTTTCCGCCCGGCCTCGGGGAGGGGGGGGGGGGGGGGGGAATAAATAGTCCGCCCAATATATCGGGCTTCTTTTTTTCGCGGGTCCCGTCGGCCCCCGCCACCTCTGTCAGTGACTTTGGTCTAGCGGGGCCCCGCTACCCGGCCGCCACCGCCCCCCCGGGGGATGTGACACACCGCTAGGCCGCCGTCATTCGCCGGGCGCGTTCTCCGAACGGCGCGGTCTTCGGCCGAGCCATCGGGTCTTGTGTGGCCGGCAGCGGGGTGTGAGCTTCCCCGCCGCCCGGCCGCCGCCCCCCCCCCACCGAACCCCGCCATATGGCGGCAGGCAACGCCGGGCGTGGAAAGCTCGCTGAGCCGACAACCAGCTGCCAGTCCCCCCCCCCCCGTTGCCGCCGCCCCCGCCCCAGGGGGTGCATGGGTGTGTGTGTGTGGGGGGGGGGCCGGGGCTCGGGAGGCTCTTCTCTGAGGGCCTTCTGTTTTCGGTTGCGTGTGAAAGCAGCCGCCTTTTTCACCTCCCCCGCCGGGCGACGCCGTGTGGCCGCGCCCCAGAACAAGCGCTCCTCACTCAAAAATTTCTCCCTTCCCTCTTTCCTCCCAGCCCCCCCCCCGCCTTCTCTGTTCCCTCGAGTACTCCCCCCTGCCTCTCCGCCCTTCCCGCCTCCGATGTCCACCATTGGCCAGAGCGCGCCGGCTGCCTCCGGCGCGGCCTCCAATTCCGGGTTGTTGGCCACCTTCTCGAAGCACTATGCCAATGCCACTTTCGTGCGTCCGCTCCCCCCCCCCCCCCCCCCCCCCCCCCCCCCCCCCCCCCCCCCCCCCCCCCCCCCCCCCCCCCCCCCCCCCCCCCCCCCCCCCTCCCCCCTTTGCCGCCGCCCCACGGCACCGGAGCTGTGCTTCGCTCGGCCCCCGCACTCACCGCCCGGCCGCCCTTCCACTCGTGCCCCTCCCCTCCTGCCCGGCAGATGTACCGGTACTACCTCGACCGGCTTGCGCCGTATCTGGCAATCCGGTGGTCGATCACCGGGACCCTGTTTGTCCTGTTCGCCCTGCGAGTGGTCCTGTCACAGGGGTTCTACATCATTGCCTATGCGCTGGGCATCTACATGCTGAACATGTTCCTGTCCTTCCTCACGCCGGCCATCGACCCGGAGCTTGATGGAGCTGACGGGGCCGATGACCCGGGGCTGCCGACGGCCGGGCCGATCCTCGGCTCCAGCTCCGGGCCCCCTGGCCCCGACTCCCAAACCCCGGGCGAATTCCGGCCCTTCATCCGCCGGCTGCCGGAGTATTCCTTCTGGCTGTCCACCACCCAGGCCCTGGTTCTGTCGCTGCTGCTGACCACCTCGCAGATCTTCAACATCCCGGTGTACTGGCGCATTTTGGTGGTGTACTTTGTGATGCTCTTTGTGATGACCATGCGCCGACAGATCAGCCACATGCTCAAGCACCGGTATCTGCCCTTCGACTTCGGCAAGCGCCGGTACCGGCCCGGCTCGTCGGCCAACGCCGGGCCGCGCACCGACGCCGCTGCTGTCACCTCCACCGGGCATGTGGCCCCGCCGGTGTCCGGGTCCTCGGCCTCCTTCTCGGGGCGCCTGCTGTCGGCCGGTTCGGCCCTCGGTGCCCTGTCGGCTCTCAGCAACCCGGCCGCCCTGCAAATGCATTCCATTCCCCATGCCCCGGGAGCCAGCATGTTCACCGGGGGCGTCGCGGCCTCCAGTGCGGCCTCCTCGCATGGTGGCTCCTCCGCCGGGGCGTTCTCTTCCAATGTGTCCGCCGGCCCGCCGGTCTCCTCGGCCGGTTCTCTGGCTCCGGTCGGGCTGCACACCACCGGGGCCGGGTCGGCACCGATGAGCATGATGATGAGCACTCCGTCGGTGCAAGCGCCGGCTCCGCCCATGCCCACGTCGGTTGCCCCGCCGCCACTGCCGACCGGGACCGGCGCTTCGCACCCGGGGCCGGATGTCATGCCTGCCCCGGTGCCCCAGTCCCACTAGGGACCCTCGCGGCACCAGGCCCCCTCCGCCTTCCTCTCCTTCCTCGCCCTTCGGTAGGTCCCCATGCATGCGCCCGGGAGCTCCGCCTCCTGCCTTCCCTTTCCTCGCTTCTCCCCTCAAATACACACGTACACTCCATCTCCCGCGTCTTTTTGCATGTGGCTCTCTCCCCCCCCCCATTTGCTGTGCCAGCACGCATGCGCCACATGCATGCTCGTGTGTTGGTCATGCTCGGCCGCAGCCCACGATGCCGGACCATGTCCCTTGCTTTCGGGGGCTCTATAGGTGTATTCGATGGCGCGGTCAGGCACCAAATGGGGCGCGTGTGTTCGGTGTGTGACACTCCGGGCAGGGGGAGAGGAGGGGGGGGGGGGGGGGGGGGGGGGGGGGGGGCGGTGGAGGAGGAGCGGCAGCAGCTTTCGCACGATGGGCAAAGTGCCAGCCGCTCACCGGACCCTCCGGAAGGTGACAGCTCCGCGACCACCCACGGCATAGTCCAGGCCGCTGGCCACCGTGGTGGCCGCCGTGAAGTACTGCAGGGCCCGCATGGCGGGCGGCATCTCCGAATGGGTCTTGTAGGCCGGGGAGGCGGTGGCCTCGGCGGAGTCGGCCGGCAGCGGCTCGGCGCTGGCGACGATGGGGGCGGCCTCGGACAGCGGGCCGTCCAGCGGCGCCGTCCCGGTGCCGGCAAAGGTGCTGCCAGCACCCGCCGCGTCGCCGAGAACATCGGCCATGTCGTTGATCGACGCCGAGAGTTGGCCGAATTCGGCCGCAAGCCCGGCCGGCGAGTCGAACACCGGCCAGGCCAGCAGCGAGCCAATGAGGGCCATCTGCGCGGCGGTGTTCAGCTTGCTGACATTCGTCGGCCGGACCTCGGCCGAGGGAATGGTCACGTCCCAGAAGCTGCACCCAGGGGCACCCGAAGGGCGAATGTCAGTCCG